GAATTTTTAAAAAATTAGTGTAGTTTAACTTTATGATTGCTTCCCTGTTGAAAATTAATGCTCCTAAAAGTGCTAATATCTTGTTAAATAAACTAAATATAATACTGTATAAACCTTAAATGGACAGTGTCAAAAAAGTAATCATTTTATACACAGATGAATAAATTACCTAAAGTTAACTTCCAAGTATTTTTTGAACTTTTCTAGTCCCTTATATAAGCACTTGCAAATCTCTGTAGTTGTCATCACTTAATGTGGCTATTTGCTGTAATTAAGAACTTGTGTATCAAATGAATCATGAATTACAAGCTCTTGAACATTTTTCTGAAAAATTATCCTTATAAAATCTGAACTTAAAATTCATAGGAGCTTAGTGAATGACCTAGACATTTGGTAAAAATTTCTTTCTTTCATTTTTTTATCCTCAGCCAGGTGATCAACCAGAAGATGAAATTAATATCTACATGTACTTGTATTTTGTCTTCTTCATCATCTTTGGTTCCTTCTTTACTTTAAATCTCTTCATTGGTGTTATCATCGATAATTTTAATGAACAGAAGAAAAAGATAAGTTATTTTATTTAATATTAGTCTTTAAGGTGTTTGCTCTTATACAACATACATAACCTACATAATTAAAGCAATTCTTAAAATACTTGCATTTATACTTTGTAGCCTGTTTACTGTTTGCTTTTATACAGCATTAAACACATCTTGTTCTCAAAGTTTTTTATTTATACAATAGAGAGAGTCTTCCTATATATTTTCTGTACTTTTATATCAAGTGCTTCTCTTTTTGCATTGGAAATTTCTGAATGATTAGTTAATTTGTAAACTGCTTACTTGTGTACAGAAAATTCTTTTGGGTGTTTGTTTTGTTCTATTCAGCAAAAACCTCTGGATATGTACTTTATTCTTCTGTGCTCTATTTTAAACAGTAGAGACCCATGAATGCATGTTCTTAAGGTAATTACTTTTATTCAGTGGTGAGTTCCAGGTCTTTACTTTATTCTTAAAGTGATTGCTTTTACATATTGATATACTAGGATGCTTTATTTCATACAGAGAACTTAATTTATTTTTAAAAGCTTTCACTTGAAACTAAAACAGTAAGTAAATAATAAGATATAAGTTGTCAAATCATTAGTTTGAAATGGAAGCGATATCAAATTCTTGCTTTGATACAACAGAGGCATTTGTGTGTCCAATTTATTTTCAAAGTATTTTTTCGTTTTCTTAAGGGTCTTGTTTATTTACATCAAATACCAGAATATTTGGTAATTATTTTACTTGCTACAATATAAAAGAAGCATCAAAGATGTGTACTGTGTGAATAACATTCTGGCATTTTGGAGAAGGTTTTAAAAAAACCAAAAAAAAAACAACCTCATCTAATTGTTCTTTTTGTATGTGTTTACGCAGGTGGTTCTTTGGAAATGTTTATGACAGAGGATCAGAAGAAATATTACAATGCCATGAAAAAAATGGGATCAAAAAAGCCGATGAAAGCTATTCCACGACCTCGAGTAAGTTATAGTAATTGAGATATTCAAATGGAATGAACTTTTGTTTTCCTGTTTAAGCAGAATAGAAGCATGAAAGAAATTCTGTAAGGATCATTTAGTTTAAACTCCACTATTGTTGTAACATGTTCTATCACTTCTATTGTCTAGCTGTTTCTTTTAGATTACTTAGTGAAAGTAATTAAATATCCAGTCTGTGTAATGATAACAAATTAATGTATCTATTCAGTATTGTTTGGTATAGGGTATGCTCACTTTGATGCAAGTTGTAGGCCTAGATTTTAAAAAACTTTTAAACTAAACTCTGAAACTATTGTAGGCTTAATACCCTAAAAATGTTGAACAAAAACTTATTCGATTGATAATAAACCCGATTAACTTAATTTGATCAGTATTCTCTCGATCAGTAACTACTCGATCTTTCACATACTGAAAACTTCACTGAATTCTCAATCACTACTCCAATGAATGACTGACCCTCAACTTTAATAACTGCTTAGAAGTATGTATATTTGCCCAACTAAATCTTGGTCAAATTTACTAAATATTAACCTCATGCACTTTTTAGCTAACATTTAATTGAAACATTCAATATTCAGCATATATTATATTCCACTGTGTGTGAATGCATCTTTTGCACTGTAGTTTTGACTTTTAGTACTTTTTTTGTAATGTTTCTTTTTTTTTTGAACAATGATTCCAATGTCAATAGGAGGGCAAAGAACATGTAGCTGCTCACTGCTTCACAATGTGAAAGTTAATGATTGGTAACTGTATAAGTTAGTGAAGTGAGATTTAAAAAATTACTTTTGCTTAGAATTTTTTTTTTTTGCTGATAAGCTAATGGTTAAGGTATAGTTTATGTTATGCAAAATATATATTTTTAGTTAGCTGACAACTAAAGTGATTTTCCTTTTGTTTGAGTCTTTTTTTTTTTTACATTTGGTTATTATAGATGTTATTTTCGTTTTATAATTTATGGAAAAATGGAAAATTAAATAGATGGTGAGGATTAATTACATAACACTTCTTTTAGCATGTATATGCACACTGTGTAAATCTAATATGTAAAGTGAGGTTTAATTAATTTTCCTTGTTCAAGATGTACTTCAAAATAAAATCAAATTGGTAGAAAACCATTTAGTGTGTCTGTTTTTTGTTGAACATCTTAACATACCCTCATGCTCATTTTGTACTAAACAAAACTAAATGTATTTACTGGATAGTTAATTAAATCTAATATGTAAAGTGAGGTTTAATTAATTTTCCTTGTTCAAGATATACTTCAAAATAAAAAACAAATTGGTAGAATAACATTTAGTGTGTCAGTTTTTTGTTGAACATCTTAACATACCTTCATGCTCATTTTGTACTAAACAAAACTAAATTTATTTACTGGATAGTTAATTAATTTAATTGAACTTTAGTGGATAATTATTATCTTTAAATTTAGTATTCAGTAACCTTCTCTTTCTTCATTTTTACTGTAAAACTACTGATATAGTGATGTTTAATTAATAAAATATTCTTTTCTTTAGTGAAAGATTTTAATTTTGTAGGATGAAGAAATATGAGATTTTTTTTATGTACTGTAAAATGGGAAAAACTTATGCATATGTATGTAACTATTACATGTCTGTTTACATTATACTTATAACTGTTTATGTAACTCCTTCACCTACAGTTAAAGCTGCAAGCTTTTGTCTTTGACCTGACTACAAATACCAAATTTGACATGGCCATAATGCTGTTTATCATGCTGAACATGATTGTGATGGGCATGGAACATTATCAACAGACAGACACCTTTGAATTGGTACTTGAGCGTCTTAACATCCTCTTCATCGCTGTCTTTACTGCCGAATGTGTGCTGAAAATCTTTGCTCTACGTTTGCATTACTTTAAGGAACCTTGGAATGTCTTTGATTTTGTTGTAGTTACACTTTCTATTTTAGGTAAAGCTTTTAACATTATACTTTGAATGTATTCCTGTATCTAAGTGCCTATTCTTGTATGTGAAAGGTTTGAATGTAGCTTTACATTTTGGGGCTTGTACCTAATGTGGCATTACATTTACATATGTACTAAGATTATCTATATCATAGGTCAAACAAGGTAGTAACTCCAGATACAGCTTATCTTGTATAATCATTTACTGTTCAAAAGTTAAATGAAAAGGAACACTACTTAATCTATTTAGCACTCGGTGTTGATTAGGTCTCAAGTAAATTCTACCTCAAAGTCACAAGACAATTTTGTTGAGCAGAAGGAAGAACACTGAATAAGATCAGAACTAAATAACATAAAATCAAGTCTTTTACAACTCTTTGGGTCTTAGTGGATTTCACTTTCTAGTCATCAATTAACTTAGCTCATCTCAAAGAACAGCTTCTAGAGAGGAAATAATCTGATTATCTCTAAATACATATGCCATAATCATTTGTGTCTTCAGTAGATTTTACTGGACAATTTTACTACTTTTCTCGAGGGGAATATCCCCCTTACTAAAAAGGGTTTTTTAGTGTTTTATTTTTAACTAGTTAATAGATTGTCTTGCCAAAACATTAACTGATTGTTCATGATATCCTGTGTCTACTAATGATTTGAATGTAGGTATATTTGTGTGTGTATAAGTTTATGTCTTAAAATGTAATCCACAAATGTGCAAAAGACAAGACATGCCAAAAAAAAAGGCAAAAACCAACAAAGTCACGATTGGGATTGGTGTATAACCATGTACTAGCATTTCAATAGTGTTGAAGATAATACATCTCTTCAGTTGTACACAAATGCAGGTAAGAATCTACTATGCAACAACAGATAAACACATTTGAAGTTATTAGTTTGCCAGATTCAGGTGCTTGAACCCATAGTGTCCTGAACCAAACAATACATGTGTTGTTTGCAGCGAATTATGGTAAGGTAGTTGTCCAGTAATAAAATAAAATAAAATAAATAATAAACAACCCAACTAATTCAGAATGCTAATAGCAGAGATGTAACATATTACATACAAAAGGATAAATAAATGAAAAAAACTAGTAGAAATTAAAAAGAATAACTAAATTAAAAAAAATTATTATGTTCCCCAATCATCCATAATCACAAACAGCCAGTCCTTTTCTCTTGAATGAGAAATAAAAAGAAAGGTGTCAAAGAAAGGGCACCAGATAAGTTACCATAGGAAGATAATTAACTAAAAAATCATAAATTTAAGAAAAGATTAGCAAGTATGGGCAAACTGAAGTAACCTTCAGTCACACAAAAATATGAAGGGAATAAGATCATACCAGTTCTTAAAGCTATAGAACTAAAATAGTTAAATGAAAAGGAAGACAAGACGGGGAGACAGTTGCATGATAACACTTCCAAACCATCGTTGAATGTAGCCAATGATAGTTAAAGTCACAGAAGGTCAGTAAATATTTCAAGAATGGGAAATATCTGACTTTGCAGGTGAAAGTCATACCTTTTACAATAGAATTGGAACCATATTTATTTAGTTTAATGTTATATTTATTCAAAAATAATCTGTATATCTTTATTATAGTCGGAAAGCCATAACCATTGAATTTGTTTTTTCTGGATTACATTTTAAGATATTTTCACTTCATTGTTTTATGGTAACTGATAACTTTTACCCACTTAAGTTCTCATTTTGTAAATGTGTGTGTGTGTGTGTATATATATATATATATATATATATATATACTATACACACACAC